CTGGACTGACATGCTGCCATCCAGCAAAGCAGAGCATGCAACAAACTGGAAGGAATGTCGTGCTTCATGTTCTGAGGCTGGGCTGGGTCTGTTCACATATTTGACCTCAGGGACTTTGAGAATTACTTTCTGAATTTTATCAAGAGGGAGCAAGTTGCCAGTGCTTTCCACAAGCTTCCTCCTAACAGAAGATGCTGCGTCAGCCACCCAGTGCGTTCCAAGATGAGCAGGAAAGCGTTTGATGGCCACATCTTGCTGGTCCAACAGCCAGGGGTAGGACTGCAAGGTTGGCAGAGTCTGTGGGTTATAATCTGTGTAAAAGGCACCTATCCCCGACTCCATGTCCAAGATCTGTTTGTTTCCTTGAAGGCCCTGTGAAGCCAAGCAAGCTGCTTCCAGTCCGTGCTTGGCAGCATTGCCAACGTGGAGGGGCTTTGTTTGGGTTGCTGCATTAGCCAGCGGGGCACCTGCATAGGAGGCAGCAATGGCCAAGGTATTTTTACATCCCAGCTGGTCAAGAGCTAGCAGTTTAGCACAAGCTGCTGCACTCCCCATTGTACCAACCACAGTCGGTGGGTGAAACCTGAGAAAACAAAAATATCTTCATTACCGTGTTTCAAAAATTAACCTGAATTCACTGTATACACAAGCTTTCTGTTCACAGCTGTGGAAGACAGATTGGACCATATTGAAACATACATTCAGAATTCATGTGCAGACCTAACGGAAAGAGCTGTCACTTTCCCCCAAGAACAAGTTAAACTGGAATAGTACCACTTGCAATAGAATCTCCCCAGAAAACAATTGAAATATTAGAACTGTTCATGGTTCAAAGCATACTGAACAGAATAATGGCAAAAGCATTACGGTTTATAGTCCTCTATAAATTACTCTAAATAAATTTACAGTCACATATAAATTTGTATTTACTATGATATTTATTATACTAATTTAAATTTATATATCATTATAAATCTGTAATAATTTAAAGTCATCTCTAAATTACACATATCAGGGGAGGCGAGTTTTGTTATTCTGAACTAGTTTAGCAAAATTGATAAAAAGAACACACAGAAAATAGCAAGAAGACAACTAGGCCATCCCACACTTCAGGGCTTTCCCCTAAGCACATCCCATTTCCTTGGGCTCTGCTCTGAGCCCAGCACTGGTGACTCCTTTCTGCTGAGAGCAAGGTGCTGTTTGCAGATGAGGCATGACTGTATGTATTCATGAACACCTGAGATTTCTAATGTTAAATGTGCTGCTCTTTTTTATAAGAACATCACCTCCTTCTTGTGAATTAGTCAATGCTTTCAAAAAGGAATCTATTAACTAAAGCCTAAGGAGTCAAGTAAGTGTATTTACACTTAAGATGACCCCTTCCTAAATTTCCAGACAAGCAGCATAGAAAATATGAATAACCGTGCCATCTGTATTTTAACTGACATGTAATTAGGTATATCAACATTGAGAAAAAAAACCTTCTGCTCAACTTTCTACTGGAAACGTTTCTATGTACCTTTTTGGAATATTCCTGGCTTCACTGGAGAAACGCAGCAGCCGACCTTGCACTTCGATTCCCACATTGAAAGCTAAGAGCAGGTCAAGACCTGAGATTTTTTTCTTCTGAGGAAAGGCCTCTGAGAGCGCAATGATGGCAGGGAGCACAGCCCCGGACGGGTGTGTGGCTGGATGCCAGGTGTCGTCAAAATCCATAGAGTGCACCTAATGGAAAGAGAAGCATTGTTTTGTCATTAGAAATAAACTCTGACTTGGCAAGGTTGGCTCAGTCAAATAGAACTACTGTAATTGGTATAAAAAAGCACCAAATAACTAGATTTTCCTTAGAAAGCAAACCTTCAAAATGCTTGAAGACCTTTACTCCCAACATGGCTCCCTGAGAAGTGGTAATGCAATAAAAATCTTGCCTCAAACGAGTATAATTCTAATTCAAGTTGCACCACGCAAAAACCTGTATGACAATGATTCCTTTTTCCCGCAATTGGTTTTTGCTGCTTTAATTAGACTTGTATAATTAAAGTAGCAGTTCTAGGTCTGCCGTGTGAACGTGAATTTGCACTTCACTCAAAACGTAATGAAATATAAACATAATGAAATTACTTCCCCAGTGCTGCATCTGATGCTGCCATTAGGACTCACACCATACAGCTGTAGCAGTCAAACCCATCCTGTTTAATGACAGTTTTATTATCAGAACTACTTCTCCAGTGCAACTATCCACAAGCCTGCAAATGTGCAGGAGGCTTTAGCCTGAACTTTCAGCACATCGGAACAAGACTTGTCACAAAAGGAACCACCCTCCCTTGAATTGCTGGGAGTAGGAGAAAGCTACAGTGGTAATACTGGGATGAGCTGCTTAGCCTCAGAAAGTATCCAAAGTGGTGCTTCTCTTAACTCTGTCCAGAGCCCAGCTGCTCATGAACATGTTGGGCATTCCTAGCGTGGCATATGGCTGCCGTTTTGGTAGCAGAGGGCTTCAGGTAGCAATGCAATGCAGTCAGTGTTTGTAATGTACTGCTTATCAGACATGTTCCCTCCCCCACAAAATTCTGAGAATCCTCAACGGCCAGAGAGCATTAGGGACAGCATTTTTAATAGCACAATAATACTTCAAAAACTGGCCTTCACATCTATTCGCCCATATGTTACTTCAGAGCAAACTAGGAAGGTGCTCAGGCTCCCCAGTGCTCAGGTTTTGCCCTGTAATACCGGGAATATGCACTTATGAGGACTGTGTCTCTGAATAGATAAAAGAAAACCCAGTCTCTGCCTCAAAAAACTTTGATGCCATCTGGGAAGATGCCCTGAAGTGCAGCATAAGGAAAGTTGGGTCCAATACCCAGTAAGCTGTATTTCTGGTGTCCTCAGTAAGTGCTTATAATTGACCTGTGACCGAGATGTAAACTGAAATGATCATATACCTGCTGACGGCCAGATTTGAATATCACAAGGGCTGCTATGAGCTGAGAGGTACCAGATCTCATTTCCAACATAATTTTCTCTACATTGGAAATGAGCTTTTAAATTGGACCTCTGATTTTGTTGTCACACTAATTTAAATAGGTTTAATAGTACCATTTCCTTGGTTGGTCACCTTCTCTAGTTTTGCATAATTGCCAAATTTGTCTACCCCACCTCTTATGCATCTTTCAATTTCAAATGGTTTCAGCCTCAATCTGAATTTAGACAAATGTCCGGGGAGTCAGTTATTGCTTTAATGACAAAGTATGTGTCCAAAATATATAACTGGCTTTTACAAACTGGGTAACTGAAGATTAAATTGCCTTGTGATGTTGTATGTGTGCGTTATCTACATGTGCATCTGCCTGTGTTTTTCTGTAGGTACACTTTGCCAGTTGGCATGGAATTTGGATCCCAGTGAAATCAGTGACATCTAGAGTGTCTCTTTCTAAGCAGCTGTAGCAAGGTTGTAACAAGCTGTAGAGATCTGACCTTTGAAAACAGTCCCAGGTCCCACATTAAAGGTATGGTATTCTGTTGAGTTGGATCAGATATATGTTACAGCTTAAGCTCAGTCTCATTGGAAGGAAGTTGAAGCACATTAGAACTATCTAGGAAAGTTTTGTAGCAGGCTTCTGAATAAGATTTTTGGAACATTCTGTTCTCTCTAGAGCAAGAATGGCATCAATTAGTGTGATTTAAGAGCAAATAAAAGAGCATCCCTTACAGCCACTCCATTCACAAAAGCTGCATACAGAGGAGGCAGTCGGAAATCCAAGTGGCCCCAGATGGTACTGGATAAATCTGAGCTGTAGATCTGAAACAAATTGACATCAGTTAATTTAAAGTCCTGAACCTAAGGATAAATGTGGGCTGTATTTCTGATGTAACCGAGACCAGATCATATCCTCTTGGGACCTAACTGTTCCCTTTGATGTGAAAAATTCTGTTCTTTTAGAAGGCGTAACAAGAAACTCAGTTTCCTGTTGGCTTATGTCCTATTCCACTCAAACAGAGCTCAGGGGGCAGACCAACCTCATCCACTTGGCCACTCAGTACCTTCACAAAACCTCTGGCCATTGATATCTCTTCTCACCAGCCACTGACAGTCAGAATCACAGAATCAGTTAGGTTGGAAAAGACCTCTGAGATCATCAAGTCCAACCTAAATGACAGGACTGTCATCATCTTGTCTGAGATGTGCAGCTAAAGGTTTCGGTTTTCTATGTTTTAGTGAGATCCTGAGTAATCGACAGATGGCCTCCTGGTGCTGCAAAATGAACCAAAGGACATAAACTACCATGGTTTGGAGAGGGGTGTTCTCTGTGGGAGGAGACCTACCAGCACACAGAGCTCTGGAGCATGAGTCAACTAGGCAGGTCTGAATGATAAAATAGTGGGCTAAATTCCTCCTCATTAATGCACTCCTGTACTGGACGGGCTTTTCTTCAGGGTCAAGTAATCCTCTAGTTTAAAGAGAGAAAGACTAGAGGAGAAACATGGCTAATGCACCTTAGACAACAATTACATTTTATGGACTGGAAGTAACCCACGACTAATTCTCCATCCCTTTAACTGTCCCTTAATTTGAAAGGCTGGTGATAAGTAGAGTTTACTTTGCAAATGTTTTTAATAAAATCTCATAGGTGAAAGAAAGGAATGGATTCCTAATTCACTGTGTTTGCAGAGGGGGATCTTAGGATACAGACTGATACACAAACTGTTGCCCTTCCAGAGTGAAAAGTACTTGAGCATTGAAGTTTCCCTGTCTCCAGTGGAAAGAACACCATATGTCTCTTTCCATCCACAAAAGAATTTCACCATGGCAAAATTTTCGTTTTATAACCCAAGTTTTCCCTTGCTTGTCTTAAAGCTAAACCTTAGAGTGTGCTATAAATTCCAGACACTTTACCTTACTGTACTGTGTCACTTTGTGGCAGACCTCAGTGCTGGTACCCAGAAGCCCCACTCCAAGAGTATCCAGAATCATTCGTTTGCTTCTCTCAATTACTTGGTCTGTCAAATGATTTGCATTCAAACCATGAATCACACTGGCAAAATTTCCCGTAATTGTCTAGGAAGGGAAAAAAATAAAGAAATAGAAGAAGTAGATATTTATCTATATTTAGAGGAAACTACTTTTTTTTTTTTTTTCCTCTTTTTTTGCTTTCAGTTTTGGGCTACTGCTTAGTATGCTGGCCATTTTTGTTGTCCTGCCCCTGCTTATGTGAATTGCATCAGCATAAGTAAGGTTTGAATTCTTCCCCTTTTTATTCCCAGAAATGCCACTGTGTTATTTATACTTTATTTATACTTTCATCATCATCCCTTTCTGTTCTGTATTTCTTCTGCTTTCTCACTGACTTGAATCCTTGAGAATATGTACTGAAGGTGCTAAAACTTTGCAAGATTATCTCTGTCTATCTCTAATGACTAGTCAGGCACACACATATAAAACAAATAGAAATCTGTCATTCCATAGCACCTTCTTATTGCTACTGAAATCAGTGGAAAAATGGCATTTCAAGCCAGTGCAACCACTACCACATAAGAAGGCAAGATTTCATCTCCCTGATTAGCAGCATTACTATCCCAAATCTTGCCGAGCTTGGAGCTCAGTGGGAGGCAGGATTTGGCAGCCCTACCTTGCACTTCTTGCTCATAGCTTCCAGCTCGCATTGAATTCACTCTCAGCTGGAGTCCCAGCTTTTCTCCAAGGCAAGATCTTGCCTCTTTGAAAAGCAGTAACTCCTTGTTCCTGGATCATGCTGATCTGGGAATTATATATATTTATTTTCCTCTCCTATTGAGCATTGACCTATTAGGCAAATTCAGCCTGCATCTTGGCCAGAGCTGTGAGCTGCTGTTAGTATCTATATTAGAAACTCATCTAGAACTTTCCTCTTGAACCATTAGAAATGTCTCCCTGTAGAGGTATACGTTATTTACAACCAGTCTATACACACAATTTCTTTTTTATACTGTCATTACCGAATATATATCTTCTCTGTCTTTGGAAATTGTCTCCTTCCATTTCCCCTCATCCTCCCCTTTACTCCCCTGCACATATCCACATAGAGTTATGATATTTCCTTCTGAACTTCATTTTGCTAAGTTAAACAAACTAAACAGCTGTTCTCTCCTGTATAATACAAATTCAACCCTACTATGCTCATATCTTCTCATTGCATTGTTCACATTGGATTCCTCTTTTTCTAGCAGTGGTGACCAGAATTTTACCCTTTAATACACACAACTTCTCACTTTAGCCTTGTACTAAAGCATTGAGGTTTTCTTGAGGAAGCAGTTACAAGCAGTTTAAAGCAGGTGAACACATATCCTGTACTGTGATGTACACCTAGTGAAACACAGAGAGTGAGGATACAAAAGCTTAAACAGAGAAGTGCATCTTACAGTACAAAGAAACAAGACAGTACCTTTGCCCACATCTTGTAGGGGTGGTCCAAGTCCCAGAGAGACCCAGCAAATAAGCTGTGATCAGTGAGCAGGGGAACTCACTTTCTCACTATTTATATGTGTCTGTATGGGGTGGGGGAAGAAATATTAGGCCTTTTTTCTTGCTCAACTTGTCTTGTCCATTTCCTCCTCTGCCTGGAATTTTTTTTTTCTTCACTTTCAACTTTCCTCTGACTAATTGTAACATAAACCGCTGGGACTTGTGGGGTAGGACTTAGCCAGTCATGTTCCCATGTTATGTAAATTGATATATGCAATACTTCACTACCAGGTAGAAACCGATATATTAATTCCAGTGTCTTACATTTGGTAGCATGGAGAGGTGTGTGGAAGCAAAATAATCCATGGATAACTCTACTGGTTGGGAAAGCAATCAGCCCAGTACTAGACTACAGGATGGCAGAGGCTCTTTTAGCTTAAAAAACCTGTTGTTAGTTTAGTTTGTTTTTATTTCTTTTGCTATATGTCTCTATAATACATACAGTTCAGAATGAGAAATGTGTGCCTTACGAATTTCAGACCATAATTTGGATTAAGGCAGCTCTTGGCACTTAGTAGTGTTTTAACAGCATGAACGTGTTAGCGATAGGTTGTGAATGAGAAATCTCTGCCCATCCTATCAGGGATGGAGCGGACCCCCAGAGGAGTATAACTAGGGGCCACAGAATAATTCTGAAGTAACTAAGTAATGTCTGCCTGAAATGTGGGAAGAATCTGGATTATGCAACAAAGTATCAAGTCTTCCCAGGCTTGCAACCTTGCACTCCCATGCTTAAGTGCTGCCTAAAACTTACACTAGGAACCTCGGCCCTTTACTCAGAATAGCTTCAAATAATTTTGTAAAGACTTATATAACTTCTGAGTGCTTCCACGTAGAGAACAGCATGGGTCTATACGTGAAGTTAAGCATTGTTCTGAGTGGTTCAAACCTCTACGGCAAGGTCCTGGTTGAGGCTGCGTCCCCTCCCCTCATCCGTCCCTGGAAACAGAATTCTCCTCCATGACACCAGCACTGATGCTGAGCAGACTCCTTTCTGAGCTGGTCCAGCCTGTCTCCAGATCTAGCTCACTGACTGTCAGCTGTCAGGCATGACTGAATTTCATTCCCTTGGAAATGCAAAGTTAAATCTAGCAGCACAAGCAGAGGGAAAGAGGAATATGGCTGGCAGTATGCTGTGAAATTTTGGGAGGGCACGGACAGGTAAAAAGAGAGAAGAGGGGATCAATTATTCTCCAGCAATTGCTAACCCAGACATTTGCCTATTTTGCCTGTGCTTTCAGCCAGTTTTGCTTTTGGTTGTTACCTTCAGGTGCTTAACTTGATGCTGAAAATTGCACTGGGTAATGGAGTGCCTGAAATGATAGAAAAAGCGATGAGTCAGTTCATGAATATAGCCAAAGAGCCTGAGGCCCAGATGCCTAAAACTCAGCCCTACAAACGCATATAGAATTTTGTACAGGACAACCTGCATTATGGGCAGGTAATTTAAACCCTTGTCCTGACTTTCTTTTAAATATGAGCAGCTGTTCAGCATGGCTACTAAACCTATTCCCACACACATTTCTCTATGAATATGCCACAGTTTCCTCACTCATGCATGCATAACTTGCATCTACATAAAACATCCCAGCACTTTTCCTAGTTCCTGGGTGAAATGTGTGCTTTGGCCAAATCCTGACCCCACAGGGAAGCAGGGCTAGAATGCAAATCAGTTCTTCTTCCTTGCCCCATGTATTTCCACACTGAGGAAAACCTCAGAGGTAGCCTGGATGTGCTGAAAAGTTACCTTTGGTGCTGATAAAATCCAGCCCACATAATGGGAATGCTTACATTGACAAGGTTGGCAATGGTTCAAAGGTTAATAGAAGTCAGTACTACCGGAGTGATAAAGGGAAAGGTTTTGTTAACTTACACTTTGTGCTTTCAGCTCATTCTTCCCTCCAGGAAAAATTGAAGTAAACATTTAAATTCCAGAAACATAGAATCACAGACTGGCTGCAGTTGGAAGGGATTCCCAGAGATCACCTTGTCCAACCTGACTGCTCTAACAAGGCCACACAGAGCAGACTGTCTAGCTCTGTGTTCAGTTGGGTTTTGAATGTCTCTGAGGACAGAGACTCCATGGCCTCTCTGAGCAACCTGTGCCAGTGTTTGACCACTAAAAAATATTAAGACCCTTAAGTCAGTCCTCTTTCAGTCATCTTTTTCCTTTACCTTTAGGATATCATTTATAATCCCATTCTGTTTCTCATTTCTTCCTCCTCCTCAACTGAGACAGAGGTCCAGCTACCTTTAATCCCATGATGAGACTCCAAAGGGAATTCAGATGGGAGTCAGAACTTGTGATATGCCTTGCAATGTGATGTGTGATTTGCGCTGATCTCAGATATGTGGTCACTTCCTCCTTGATTGCAGGATGGATTGTCCATGCATAGCAATAATAACGCTATTTAAGGACTGAACTGAGATATTAGAAAAAGTGACTTTTGGTTAAAAAAAGGATGAAGTGAAACTGTAAATGCACATAATTTCTTGGGAGACCAATTTCCAAACTGTGGCCTGCGGATTTCGGAGTCAGGTGTGCACTGTAGACTGTGAGGGAAAAGAAAGCAATGAGATTATCACTGCAGGTGGAAAGGCATCTATACAAAGTCCTGCATCTCCACAGGAGAATTCCTAGGGGTCTAAATAGAAGAAGGTTGAAACTCAGTGACTGAGATTTTGGTACAGGCTGTCTACCCTGACAAGGGAAATCTGCTGCTTTCCTCTTCTTTTACACAATACGCATGGTTCAGCAATTTGGGCAGACAATTTGATAACTAGTGAGCATGGTGAAAAGACAAAATAGGTTCATCCAAATGCCATTTGCAACATCGTGCGCATCTACAGTAATGAGCTGTGTTGATTACAGAACAAGACTTCAGAAAACCAGTGCCCCACAGAGTCTATTTTCGCCTGCTGACATCACATTTTCAAACTGCTTTTTTCCTTCTTTTGCCTCCAGTTATTTTAGGCTAAACTCTGCCCACACCTGCAGGCTGTATGTTTGCAATTGAAAGCAATTTTGGCCCTAGCCTTATGCTCCTTTTGTTCTGAAGAAATACAATAAGTTATGATAAAATACAGAGTCCAGGCTTCCTTTTCTCTATGCCAGCTTTTAAGAAGTAACTTTGTTCATGGCCTCATGCTAAGATGAGAAAACAGGAGGCAGGTGCCAATTATTCTCTGTTTACAGAGATTCTGATGTTGCTGGGGGTCTGGAAATAACTTTTAACTGCAGGACCTGCTCCTTTTCTCTCCACTGGGATATTTTAAGTACAGTAAAAATGTGAGAATCTTAGCAAATAGTCTGGATAGGTGTCTTGATCTAAAACCTGTTACCAGCCCTACAGCCATAAATCTTGGGATCCTGTAATTCTGGACCACTATTTTTATAGTCTCCTGTGCCTTTTTTTCCTCAGGCTTACCTTCCCACATTCATCCCAATAACAGTTATTGAACCAGACAGCAATAACACACAGCAGATGTATAATCAATTATTAAACTATGAAATGCATCATTCTAGAAATTTCTAGCCTATAGAAGTTCTCTTATTCACCTACTTGCACAACTAGTGGCAATGGCAGTGCAATCTCTGAGAAGTTAACATCACTCTTGTTTCCTTTTTTCCATTTCCCCACAGCAAATCTTGAAAGTGCCCTCCCCCATGTTTTGGTAAAGGTTGCTACAAGTCAATGCACCAGGTCCACATTACACTGCCCTTCTTGCCTTACTAAATTAGCAGTGCTATTCCCCAAGGCAAGACCTCAGTGTTCATCTAAACTTATAATGTAGATGCCTGTTTGCTTAAATGATCTGTAAGACAGAGGTACCAGGTGTAACTGGGATATACTATGAACATGGTTCAAGCTGCTCCACTAGAAGCAAAAGCATGTTTGAAGCCAAAGATCACGTTGCTGAATGATTATTGAAGTTTCAACACCATTTATGGAGTAGTGTGAAGAGGCCTGATCTACAACAAAGTAGGAAGACATTGCAGTTCCACGAAATTCCTGTTGACCCAGTGCGAATTTTAGCTCTCACCAACACTGTAGCCTTTACCTGTTTTGCTGGTGTCAGCACTCAGATACTGACGGTGGAAGGGGCTGCACCATACTAGGCTGCCTCAGGTTCACAGCTCAGGAGGAGGAGGTGGTGCAGAGGAAGGTGACACAGCCAGCCTCAGTAACCCGTAAACCACTCTCTACACCCCAGGGTACCACCACTCCTCCCTGGCATGCCTCACAGACAAGTTCCCAAAGATTTTATTCATCTCACTCTAGCTTCTTACTCTATTTTCTAAAGAAACAAGGTTACCTGGACTAGTAGCAGGTGGCTGTAAGGTTTCTATTTGGCATGACTTCCAATAAGTCACTGAATAATAGCAGTGGGTGTGGGAGATCACACAGGTTTTCTGTATGTACATAAACTTTTCCTCGTTTATGTTTTTGGCAGCTTGCAGCAGCCTGTAGCACACATTGCTCTTTTGTTCAAGGAGAGCCATGATGTCTATATTAAGTGGCCAGAACACAACCAGATGTCATCACAAGACTTGTGCTATTTGGGGAGATGATGAAACTCGACTAGCATAAATTCAGACTTTGATTAGTGGAAAACAAATCAGCGAGAGCACATGTGAGGTATGCGGAAATTTTAATTAAATTACCAGTGGAAGTCCAGTGGTGCAGATGAGGCATTAGTCACTGTGCTGGGCTGCTGCATCGTACATGGAAAGGCACCCAGAAAAATCATCCTCCTGATCATTTCAGAGCAAGCCCAGATATCAGGCTGTAATGGGTCCCAGCAAGGCTGCAGTGGTGGTTCAGTGGGGAGATATGGTATCGAGACACAGAGACAACAAGCTTAACCATTAACTAAGGGATAAAAAAGCCTCTCTGCATCCAAACTATTACTCTGGGATTTGGAATCCCTAGGAAATTTTCAAAGACTCCATTACAAACCTTTGTAT